CTAAAATTATTGAACTCCCTCCTCAAGAGAAAGCATCTGCTAACCCAATCACTATCGACAATGATAATGAAGGTGAATGGGTTGTTTATCAGTCAAAAAGCATGAAGAAAAAACAAAATGCCACAGTGAAAGCTAGAAGTGTGGTTGATTCAACAACACAAGGGCCAAAAGTTTCCAAAAAGAAAAAATCAAAAGTTTCTAGGAAACAGAAAAAAGCCAAAGTAAGTAAGAGAAAAGGAAAAAAGCACCCAAAGAAGGAAAAGGGGGAGAAATTGGTCCCTGATGAGCAGTTAGAGCAAGGTCCTCTTGTCCCAGTCACATTGGAGGAATTTCTACCTTCAAAATTTCAATCTGTGGAGTTGCAGACATACTTTGATAAAAGGAGGAAGGAAAAGTTTACTTTGGCCCTTGTTGGCCCGACAGAATAAGGAACACCTGTTGGCCCAACGGGATTTGAATCAACATCAATTGACCCGCTCTAAAAATGTAGGGACTGTTTTGAAAATTCATGAGGAATTTACAAAGGCACAAACGGTTCCTTCTATGCCCTTAGGGGCTCGACTTGATATGTCATCCGGTCCAGTTTCGAAAAGACAAAGGCAAAGAAGAAATAAGGCCTTAAAGAAATTGGAACTAAGAACAGTGGCAATAAATGTTATAGGTGCTATTGAAAGGGCTCTCTCGAAAGATGAACCCCAAAAACAAATTGAAAGTCCTGTCTTTGTCGGAAAATCCAAGGTGGAGGGGGGTAAGCAACCCTTGGGAAATATTTCTACTTTGGTTGACCTATCTATGGAGGGAATAAGAAAAGGGCCTGTGACAAGGTCCATAACCCGTCAGGCTCAAAACAAAGCATCGCAGTCAGATGCTTCAAATATGAGTAATGTTGTGGGGGTTGATAATCCTTTATACGAACAAGGTGATTCTATCTTGTTTGTTTCAACGGATATTGGAAACAATGAATTGAAAGATATCAACAAAGTCGCAGTTATGATGACTGAGGTTGAGAAAGAAGGTGAAAATTCGCAGGTCCAACAAGACCAAGGTCTCAAGGAAAAAGTGGTGGCCCTACAAGAACAACTCGAGAGAAAAGAACGGGAAATGGCTGCTATGTTGGAGCAAATGCAACAGCTGCAGGCCCAAATGACGGGACCAGGAAGTGCACCCAAACAAATGACACAACCTATTGTGAGGACATCTGTAGGCATACAAAGTACACTAGCCCCAGGGGGCAATGGTCCTTGTTACTCTGATCTAACCAGTGATGGTATGAATCCAATACTCATGGCCATGATTGATGATGGTGAGGAGACAAGTAAAGAAAGTCAAAGAAAAAGATGATGAGAATTTTTGAATAATTACAAAACCTTACCCAGCATGGGTAGATGCTATTCCATTCCCTTCTGGTTTTTCCCAACCAGATTTCAAAATGTTTGATGGAACAGGAGATCCAAGACGACATGTGGCTCATTTTCTTTCAAGATACGGGCCAATAGCCCAGAATGAGGCCCTGTGCTTGTAGCTATTTGTCCAATCACTTGAAAGTTCTGCATTTACTTGGTATGTTAACCTTCTCGAGGGATTAATCCCAAATTGGGATTCCATGGTGAAGAAGTTCCTTAAACAGTTCTGCAACACACAAAGGCGAGTTGGAGTACCAGAACTGATTGAGACCAAGCAACGTGACAATGAGTCTGCTACAGATTTCATTGCAAGATGGCGAGCTTTGACATTTGCTTGTCCTCAGAAGTTTATGCAATTAGAGTTAATTCGGATGTGCCTTAACAACTTCCGACATGAGCTCTCTACGGCTCAAACTTTTGAAGGATTCAATGATCCATGCACTAAAGCTCATGATATGGAGCTGCATCTAGCTAAACGAAGAAGGCCTAGGGTCGTTGAAAGGGTTGAGTCCTCGACTGCAGCTACAATCGAAACCAGAAAAAAGGGTCCCGTTGTAGTAGGGGCTAAAAAGCCTAAGGAATTTAAAAAGGTGACTATGAAAGAGAGGTTGGAGAAGAAGTATTCTTTCATGGATGATCTGGTCGAAGACCTATTTGAAGATCTGTTGGAGCAAAAGTTGATTGCTCTCCCTGAGGTGAAAAGACCACATGAGGTAGGAAAGACCAATGATCCAAAGTATTGCCCCTACCATCGTTTGATTAGTCATCTGATAAAAGAGTGCTTTGTTCTGAAAGATAAAATTCAAGAACTTTTGGACTCTAAGATCATTGAGCTCCCTCCTCAAGAGAAAGCATCTGCTAACCCAATCACTATCGACAATGATAATGAAGGTGAATGGGTTGTTTATCAGTCAAAAAGCATGAAGAAAAAACAAAATGCCACAGTGAAAGCTAGAAGTGTGGTTGATTCAACAACACAAGGGCCAAAAGTTTCCAAAAAGCAAAAATCAAAAGTTTCTAGGAAACAGAAAAAAGCCAAAGTAAGTAAGAGAAAAGGAAAGAAGAACCCAAAGAAGGAAAAAGGGGAGAAATTGGTCCCTAATGAGCAGTTAGAGCAAGGTCCTCTTTCCTAGTCACATTGGAGGAATTTCTACCTTCAAAATTTCAATCTATGGAGTTGCAGACATACTTTGATAAAAGAAGGGAGGAAAAGTTTACTTTGGCCCCTTTCCTAACCATTATTGTTTTGAGTGATGACGAGGAAGGTGAGGGTGAAGTTGGTTCAAAAGTTAGGGAAGGAGATTGCATTACATCTCCTATCTGCATACCTGACTCACCAGAATATACACCAACTTCTCCAGAATACACACCAGCTTCTCCAGAGTATACACCAGAAGCCTTTTCTCCAGAGTATTCGCCAGTACCACCAATGTACTATCAAAGCACTCCAGAATATGTAAGGGGAACAGAACAAGGAGACACTGGGTGTAGGTCCGACTCTGAGCTTGTGAAAAAGGCGAAAAAACGACTACACTTCAAGGATGATGAGGTGAATGGCAGGTGTAAGTCGGATGATGAAGTATGGAAGCATTCAAGTAAACAAGCAAAGTCATCTCAAGTTGAGGATCCTAATGAAGATTGGGAACTTGACTTTTCCCTTGATGATTCACCATACACATCTCCAGCTAGGACATACGATGGAGAAAGTGTATCAAGTGACCACTTTGACTTTCCTTGTAATGTCATCACTGTGAATGTAAATTTTGAAGAGCGAGAAATACATATCATTCGCAATCCAGGTGATGATGAGAAAGAAAAAATTGAAGCTAGAAGGGAAACGGAACATCAGGCAAAAGTAACAGTCTCTTTGAAAGATGAGGGTTTTGAAGCCCATCAAAATTTGAGTATTGAAAGAAATCAAATTTCTGGACACCCTTTCCCTAATTGGGTCGAATGGGTTCAGTTCCCACGAGGATATGCAGTACCTCATTTTCCTTTATATAATGGGACAGGTTGTCCAAGGCGCCATTTGGTTCGTTTCCTTGCACAATGTGGAAATACAGTAAAAAGCCAGGAGTTACTTCTACGGCAGTTCGTTCTTTTTTTGGAAGGATGGGCAGCGGATTGGTACTTCAGCCTGCCACCTAATTCAATCCCAGATTGGGACACCATGCCTGATCGATTCTATAGGACATTTTATAAACCATGGCCAATAGAAATTGAGATGTCAGAACATTTGGATGACGAAGGTACATCTTCTCAAACATATGATTTCATAGAAGGCACAATTGAGGAGAAGATTGAAACTACCCTTGACCTTCAAGAGATAGGCACTTATCGCCCAAGGGATTTGTTCCCTTTATGGGTAGAGCAAACACCATTTCCTGAAGGATACGAACTTCCAAATTTTGTCCTATATGAGGGGTATGGAGATCCTCAAAAACATATTAGGCGTTTTTTGAAACAATATGGGGAATCAGCTCAAAATGAAGCACTTTGCCTAAAACAATTCCCCCTTTCTTTAGAGGGGATCGCCTTTGACTGGTATTGCTCCCTCGATGGAGTCGTGGTGCCTAGTTAGGAGGCCATGAAGAATGGTTTTGAAGAATCTCAATGCTTTTATAGGCGTGACTCCCGGTACCTAAGAAATGGGAGAAGAATGCAGCTCCAAGAAGATGGAGAAGTGACTGATGATGATGATCACACTGCAGCTGGACCAGTTAACATGGTCCAAATAAGTGGGGGAATAAAAGAAGTTGAGGTCAATGAAAAGGCGGTTGCTGAAGTGTGCCAGACTTATTTGACCTACCGGAAGAAATTACGAAATCCTCAAGACCCTCAAATGTCAGAAGTTCCACAAGTTTTGCTGGAGGAGGAGCAAGTGAAATATGATGTGCTAGCTCATCTAAAGAAAATTCCAGCATTGTTGAGTGTATATGATGCAGTGAAAATGTCTCCAGAGCTTCGAAAGTCTCTAATATATGCCCTGTCCAAGCCAGAGGATTTCCGCAAAGAAATCGAGGGTAGAAATCAAGAGAAGGCAACTACATGCATGGCCATGGTAACCTTTGGTGACAAAGACATGTGTGCTGAAATGACAGACCATAATCAGCCTTTGTTTATCACTGGGCTTATCCATGATGTGAAAATTTCTCGAATTCTGGTTGATGGAGGATCTGCGGTAAACCTCCTGCCTCGGAGGGCCTTAAACTTATTAGGGGTTCGAATTTCATAACTTCGCCCAAGTCATTTGGTCATTCAAGGATTTAATCAGAATGAACAACGCCCAATGGGGAAGATTGAATTGCGAACCAAGTTTAGGGATATTGAAGAAAGCACTGAGTTCTTGGTCATTGATGTAGACACCTCTTACAATGCTTTGCTTGGGAGACCATGGATGCATAATCATCATACAGTGCCGTCAACTTATCACCAATGCATTAAGTACCCGTTGCCTTCACCCAAAAAAGAGGGGACAATTGTGGCTGACAATGATCCATTTGGAGAAGTAGAGGCCTATTATGCTGATGCTCGCTTCTATACAAAGACTTCACAAAGAAAGGAAAAAGATGTGAAAAAGTCTGAAGATACTCCGAATGTCAAAGACGTTCTAGAGTCTACTCCAGTTTCAACAAAAAGAACTTTTCGATATGTGCCAAAGTCCGAAAGGAAATTAGGGGAAAAGGCTCTAGCCCCAATAAATCCAATTTTGGATCTCAAGGGTGAGTTCACGTTGCCATTAAGGAAGACAGAATGCACTTATGTGGAGAAATATAATAAAATTGTGGTCCCTTCTAAAGGAAAAGGGTCGAAACCCATCATATTCCACTCACTTGGAGATGTTGAACAGAAAGTGAAAGTTGAACAAATGCCAGAAGAAAACATCTCGAGTTTTGAGAAGCCTACCTTCAGTGCAAAAATTACACAGATGTTGGTAAAAGTTGGTTTAGATCCAGGTTTGAACCTT